GTAAATGTACTCTCAGATTCTTGTGTTTTAAAGATGCAGTAATCCTAGTGAAGAAAGACTTCTTCCTTTAAAATGCTAATTAACTAACTCTTACATGCTCATAAAATCTGGTCCAGAATTTGGCTCTTTAATAAGTTTATCAGAAATAGCATTTGTAAAATCCTACTTGCATTTTTATTCCAGTGTGGCACTTGGCCCAGAAAGGCGCTTTGAAACAACCATCTGAATTTTGATCTCACGGAAAGAGTATGACAGGCAAGATCTGTGTTTTACTTGTTGAATAAAGATGGTAAAGGATTTGTTTCCAAAATACCTGAAATCAAAGCTGCATAAGCTGAAGGTGTTCACCCGATTAGTCTACTGCTGTTTGGAAGCAAGACTGGCAAAGGGTGTGTTTTACAATAGAACTGCAGTACAGAAATTTCCATGATTAAATTGTTCTGACTTTGTTTATGATAATGTCATAGTCTTCAGCTTTGAAGTCATGGAACAGAATATCCATCTAATTAAATCTTGGTCTAAGTTTTCAGATTAAAAGTTTACTATTAGAACTGATCCTAAAAAAAAACCCACTACCTCTGTCCCTCAAAGAAGTTATGTTTAAATTGCTAAGAAGCCTGCCCTTCCCAAATTTGCAGCAAGATGGCATCTGCACCATTAGGAAACAGTGTACTGAACTGCAATACAGTGGATGAGCAGATAGCTATCAGATCGCTTGCTGTCATGGCAACGTACACAACTGTCAAAATTATACTTAAAAAGTAAAAAAGTTAGCTCAGTTTTTGCTGAAGAATTGTTTCTGAAAAGACTTACTACAGCTGCGAAAGAGCAGAAGCACAACCTTCACAGCAATGATCTTACTGCACATCCTTATTTTGGCTAAATGAGAATGCAAAACAGCACATAAATCCTTACTTCATCTCTTAGAAAGCAGTAACTTTACTATGTAGGAATGGCATTCAGTCCTAGTTTTCCTTAAAATTAAACTAAGAATTCCTGGAATTTATTTGTAGCTATTCTCCTTCCCCTCTCAACTCCTGATTCAGTGATTGGTGAGCAGGATATTGAATGGATGGAACCATCCAAAGGTTTACTCTATTGCAAACACACATTTTGCCGAGCAGCGGGAGAAGGCGGTGGAGGAGCCAGTGTTTTGCCCACTACTGATTTCAAGAGTTAAGCAGATTCAAGGAGACCGCGCAGCATGTGTGACAATATGGGCAAGACACACTCTGTATGCGTGTTAGCATGGTGATTCCCATCACCATCAGCAGGGGTGAACCCAAATCAGTTCAGGAGCTTGTTTTCCCATACTGTCCCTTGTAGCTACAAGGGAACCTGAGGCTGACACAGGGCAGAGAAGAATGGTGGTGGGCTGGAAAGCACCACACTGACCACCAACAGAGAGGGGTAGGTGGAAATGACCCGGGCTAGCCGGGGAGGTACCCCAAGTGATGTTTACCTTGACCAAGGACTCTGTGAGGCTCAACAGACAGCGCGGTTACCCCAGCTCCAAGCACAGTGTTTTGCCCACTACTGATTTCAAGAGTTAAGCAGATTCACCGTCAACCAGGGGAGCACATCATCACCTGGTTACTCCGATGCTGGGACAATGGGGCCGATGGTCACGAACTAGAAAAGGGGGGGAAGTGAGCGAACAAATTACCTGACTGGGTTTAAACCAGGACAGTAACACACAGAAGCACTCAGAGAAGAAAAAATGTGTACCACAGAGTGACCACCACACTCCTCGCTGGAGTAGCTCAAACAGCAAGCTCAAACAGCGGCATGCTGCAGCTCAATTGATTCTTCTGTTAGACCATATAGTAGCTGAGTATGAGAACTGGAACCAGTGACTACAATTGCTGGGGAGTCATGCAATACACAACTGCAGTCTCAGAACTGATACTGTTCTGCTAACCTGGACCTTGCTTATTATGAGTTCTAATCAACTCGATCTTTTGTTTTCTTGTCTTCAGCTGCTGATCAACTCTAGACTTCTGATATTTCCTCCTATGAAGACCAGCCCAAGTTAGCTACCAATTACGAGGTTGTGTCTTCCATGAGATGCTCATAAATCCCTATTATTGTCTTCACTAGATTTCAGATTCCCAAGCAAACTGTAATCTACTGAAGAAAGCTCTGTCACTAGCTTCATATAACACTGTCCCCCAAAGTATTTTAACTAATTGTGTGAAATTCGTGAAGACACAGGACCAGCCAAAGTCCTGTGTTACACAAGAAATGAAACTGATTATACAGATGATATCAAAATGCCACTGAAGTGTTGAAACTTATACTAAAATGAGTGGAATCAGATTTTTTTTCCTGCAATTCTACATCAAAAATTCCTCACCTCTCACCCAATTAGCACAGAACGCCAATTTTCTCTTTTCTGCTTCTGCTGACAACTGAATGATCTTCCTTATTTGAATTAGTTTTAAAAAGTTATGCACTGAAATTATCCCAGATTTGGTAGCAGCAAGATGAGATCTGAATCAGAATGTACTGTTCGAATACAATACATAATAAAAAGAAAGGGCATCTCTGGTAAAGGTACAAGTTACCCAAACTTACCCCTGAAAAACTGAGCTGTGTTGCTTCTAAAATACAAACACTTCCAGCAGCAAAGCATAACCAAAACAAAGGTTTTTCTTTTTCATATATATTTTGTTTCCTATGGAATGTAAATGCTCAAAATAGTTATTAATAAATGTCCATTTATTGTCTAAGCAATTTACCACTTTCAAGAAGAAAGCAGGCATCAGTACCACAATTACAATGTATTTGTCTCCCTTGCACTGTGGTCCCCTATGAGTCACCCTCTAAGAGATGGAAGCAGAGATCCAGTGATGAGATACATGGAAAGCACCCGAGCTGCAGCAACCTGCACATGGTATGTTTTCTGGTAACACTGCTTATGTTGGTCTTAAACACACCGATATAAACAGAAACTTACATAAGGTACTAAATGTAGGGATTTCTGGTGATCAGGAACGCTTGAAGCGTGTACAAATACAATTTACTCAGCTTCTCATTGCTCCATACATCCTAATGAGTGTTCCATAATAGAGAAAATACAGAGTATGTAAAAAAAAAAAAAGGGACTAGACTGCAGCAATGCATGCATTCACTTCCAGCACCTATGCAAACATTGTTTCATGCTTTCTCCAGTAGTGTAAGGGATCACATCGCAGCTTAGAAGGAAGCCTTCCTTCCCAAGCATGTGCCCTCCTGTGCTTGGGACAAAGTGATCACAGTTACTGAGATCAGACCTCCATAAGCAAGCAGCAAACAGGCTTTTTTTTTAATTTTTCCATTTAATAATAAAAAAAAATAAATTAGTAGCAGATGCTAACTTTTAGTCACTTAAGGATTTCCCCCACTTACTATACCAGGTCAAATAGCTTCCAGATTTTCTTCCTCTTCTTCAATACATTCAAGTGATTTCAAACCATAAAATAAAATGGAAAGGAAGTAGTATCTATGAAAAGCTGTCAGACACAAGTGATCAGTGAAAGGGATGTGTTAGTGAAGACCTCAGGTACTTCAGGCATGGCACACAAGAAGAGAACTGGTGAAGAAAAAAAGGGTTCTGGACATACCGCAACTGGCTGAATGGAGAAAAGAGTCACACACAACAGCACCAAACCTGCCACAGCAGCTGTTAATGCCTGTAACAGCTTCAGGATGCCAGCCCGAGAAGCAAGGGATGGAGGACAGCCGTTTGCCCGACAGTGTCAGTGGAGGCAAACGCTTCCTCCCACACCTCTGCTTTGCTGGGCACACGGAGGGAGGAGGGCGACCTGCAGCTGTCCACAGCTCCCTCGTGCTTGTTTCACCAGTGCTGCTGACGCTGCACTTGAGCACCCGGGCTGTTACAAGCCCCTCGCTAGCGCTGTTCCGAGTGTGAAGAAAAGCCCTAGATTTTTACAAATTTAAGTTAAGACAGAAATAAGCCATTCCCCTGTGGACTGTTAGCAACCAAAGGGCTAAACATCACAGTTTCAGGTGCTCGGAAATCGTTGGGGAAGCAGCCTTCCCTCCTCCCCTCATTAAAAATAAACAAAGTCGCTATGATCAAACTACCCACTAACAATACCTACAGCGTTACATGTGCCTGCAGGGCTCCGTGAAGCGAAGCGAGGCGAGGCGAGGCGAGGCGAGGCGAGGCGAGGCGAGGCCAGGCTCCCGCTCCTGCCGGTACCGCCGGGGCCGGCACCCGCCACCCTGAGGGGAGGCCCGGCCGTTGAGGCACGCGGCAGGGCGGGACCCTCGCGCCGCGCTGAGGGGGCACCGCCCGCGGCTCGCGCAGCGACCGTTACAACCGGTGAGGACCCCGCGGGCGCGGCGCCCCCTGCCGGCCCCGCTGCAGCACGGCTCCGTCCCACGGCGGTGAGCCCGGAGCTCCCCTGAGGGGGCGCCGCTGGGCCGGGGGGCTCGGGCGCCCGTTGAGGGGCGGCTCAGGCGTTCTCTCCCCGTTAAGCACGCCGGAGGACGGTGCAGTGATTCAAAGTGGTTTCCTAACTCCAGTGGTAAACTTTTCCTGGAATCACAGAGTCATAGAATGGTTTGGGTTGGAAAGGACCTTAAGATCATCCAGTTCCAACCTCCTGCCATGGGCAGGGACACCTCACACTAAACCATCTCACCCAAGGCTCTGTCCATCCTAGCCTTGAACACCGCCAGGGATGGAGCATTCACAGCTTCCCTGGGCAACCCATTCCAGTGCCTCACCACCCTTACAGTAAAGAACTTCTTCCTTATATCCAATCTAAACTTCCCCTGTTTAAGTTTTAACCCATCACCCCTTGTCCTATCACTACAGTTCCTAATGAAGAGTCCCTCCCCAGCATCCCTATAGCCCCCTTCAGATACTGGAAGGCTGCTATGAGGTCTCCATTGCATTTTGTATATTAACAATAAGCATCAGTTCCTCTGGGCTATTTCTATTATCCTGAAGTTGCACATACTCCCCTATTCCTCGGACATATTGAAGTCTAAAGGGAACAAAACCAGGAAGAAAATCAGTTTGATCCCTTCAGAGCTCAAACAGTACTTACACGACACACCACCTCTAGCCTTGCTGGCTTTGACAGCACTGCAGGAGTCCTCCACTGTTCCACACAGCTGCCTTCTCCTTGCTTCTTGCACGCAGTCATTATGCACAGCAATCACATCCCGGTTGGCCTCAGCATGTCACAGATGCAAGTTCCTTCTGCATAAACTGATATGTTACTGTTACTATTATAAGCTGCATAATTTGGAGTAACTGACATAGGAGTAGATGTTCCTCTTCTCATTGTCATTACACTGCTACCTAGAAGGCATTACATGAGTAGAGCTGTTTATCAAGAAGGCAGTCAGCTGAGCCAACTGTCTTCCTTAACATTTTTCCCTGCCTCTTCTTTTTCTGCTCCTTCACTTATCAAATGACAGAGTGAGCACTAGAGCTGTGAGGAAGCAAACATGAAAATCAGATGGGTGATTCCTAGAATAGCCCTTGAGTACCAGAGGTGTTAAATGTGAATGTGTACATGAAGCCACCAATAAACATCCCTGATGCTTATTCTTTTTTTATTTGCCTTCCTTGATAGCAACTACATCACCATGCTTTGGAGAAGACACCTTTCAACTCTTTGTACTCACACAGTTGTGATTGCTGGATGATATTTGTATCTCAGTGACAGGCATTTATCGTCTCAACAAATGAAGGTTCAAAACAAGCCCTATGTTGTCTTTACTAAGAGAGCACCTGTGGGGAAGAAAATCCCACAAACACAAAAGAAATAGAAAAAAAGGGCCTTTTGAGCATGGGAATGCTCATCTTCATGCTAGTGTAAGCACAATGAACAACAAGCTGTCATAAAATCTCAAAAAATTGGTTAAGATTTGGAAGCAACAGCATAAATGCTTTCTGCTGCCCCATCTAAGAAAACTGAACTGAGCAAGGCTGTTCATCCTCTGGTCATCAAAACAATTTTAACATGTAAGCTGAGACTGTCAATCTAAATGTATCCCAAACTCATTTTTCTAAATAAGGGCACAGAAAGAACCGAGTTATGCTCAGAGATCACATGTGGGCTTCAGATTCATGAAAATGAGGTTGCTCAATATTCTGCTGACTTGAGAAAAACAGCACTGACATGACTCACCTCTTTCCCTTCTCCTCAGGGAATCATTCCTTCTAACACAAGTTAGGATTCCTTTTTATATAACTAGATCATGAAACAGGAGTTCAGCTGTCTATTAAACACAAAGCAAATTCATCAAATCATGCATACCATTTATATAACTGCATTTAAATAACATTTTATCAAAGGAAGGCATATCAAGCTAAATAAATTTTCTCTTTTGTTCCTTGTGTAGGAATTTCATTTTAAGAAGTATTTTTCTGTAACTGAATGGATGCCAGTTGCAGAAATATCTGCCACTAAGCTAGAAAAATCTCATCATAACTTTTCATTATCGATATTAAATGCTAGAAATCCTCTGGGAGAGAAATGAACATATTGGATGTTTGCACTTTCTGGGGAAATGTTGCAAACTTGTTTACCAGAAGACTGCTATAGGAGAAAACAAACCCAATAAAAAGAGACTCATATGTCTACTGAATAGTCCTTCTGATCCTGCAAATATTTTTGTTTGTGACATTTATAGAATTACATCAAGCAGTAAAAGGGAACTTAAGAACAATTTTTCAGGTGCTTAGTACCCACGGGTAGAACCAGGCTTTGTCTCTTTCCAATTTCAGAGGGCTTTAACAAATCAATATCCTTACAATATATTGGTTACAGCATGTCTCCATCAGCTTCTATTTACTTCTCTGAAAATGCTCCATTCCTTTTGGTATTGGTCCTTTGACATGAAGAAAAGTCTTTGCCTCACATTTATTTCTGTCAGAAAGCTTTGCCCAGAAGGAGCACAGAAGCCTGCTTGAAGGGAAAAAAATGCAAAGTGCAAATAGATACATCATCATCCGTGAAACTTTAAAGTAGAAGACATGCAGGTAATCGTACTTTTTACACAAGACATTATTTAGCAACATAGGCTTAAATAATTTAACATGATTATTTTTGTTCTTGTACCCTCAGCCGCAAACACGGTGATGGTCCACACCAGAGCAATCAAGGAGGCCTTGGGGCAGCTCCATCCACTGGCATGTGCAGCCCCTAGAATTTATTCCATGACTGAGTCTCCTGATGGTTGGTTTGCCAGGAATGAGAGAAACTAAAATGCTTTAAGTTAAAACAGACAGATTCCAGTTTTTTTTTGTCTGACTTCTATATTAGGACCCTATAAAGGGTCCTTCAATAAGTATGAGTGGCAAAAACCATGCCAGCCTCATCTCGTGCTTCTGTAGGGCACTAAAGCAGTCTTGGAGATATTTTCTTCAGTTGAAAATATTTTAATACATTCAATCTTGTCTGAATGCTTAAATCTGATGAAAAACTTTTCAACTATATATTTTATGCAAGAAATAAGTATCATTCTTCATTGCAGAAGGCACGTGTATCAATTACTACAAACAGACTTCCACAGAATTCACTAGAAACCAGCAGCATTTTCTAGCATGATCTAAAAGCTATATAGAGAAAAACATTTAAAACTCGCTACTAAAAATAGATTTGGGTTATTATTTCACTATAAAGGAGAGATTTCTTGTTTGAAAAGTGGGCCAAGTACCTATGCCAGGCAGTGCTATCTGCATGCATGTCAAAAAACACGAGGAATTTCTAGAGTTCATGAATAACTCGAAATTGACAACTTTGGCAACTTGAAAACTTGGCTGGAGGGGGAAAGGAGTATAAAATACACCCTGATCTCTTTAAATCATCCCTTAAACAAGGGTTTTGGATTTGTTTGTTTCCTTGGAAATGTTTTATAGCATAATAGAAATGGTTCATTTAGCTGTCTTTTCAGAATGATAATAAGCTGTTTGACTGGCAAGGCTTAGAATAAGTTACAAAGACTGACACTGAAAATGTATCAAGATGAGAATGTTAAGCCCTCAAAAAGGAACCAACTTACAGAAGGCTCTTGATACATTAATTTAGTCCATTGCATTACACTACAACTGAGACTGCACTATTATGTGCTACTTTTCCCTTAGGATTTACCTTACTAACAGGAAGAAGGGAAAGATCATGCTGAATGCAAACCTTATTGATATTTTACTTTAAACCCTTTGTTCAGTCCCTGTTCTTGTGCTGATACTGAAGCTCCCCATCAGATGCAGCAGCTCCCCCGCAAGCCATAGGCAGGCTCTGCCCAACAGCTGCAATCAGGCCCTGTTCAAATAGAGTCTTTGAAGAGTTTTCCTATCGAGCTCTACACTGAATGCAGACCCATGGAGCGCTTTTCCTCAAAAGGTCACCAAGTTGACCAAATCCCAGGGAATGTGTAGCCCAAAGGTGACTCCAAATGAGATGTGTGCACGTGGTTAACTTTGCTTAAAGAAAATAGGCAAATACACATCTCAGTGTCATAGGTGTGATGAATTTTGCGTTAAATCCCCAAAAATTCAACGAAGACACAACCCCACAGAACTGCTTTGTTTGCTCCTGCTTTCAGAAGTGACTAAACCACATTTGCTTAATGTGAGATATGCAAAATGTTTTCCATATATTTCTGTAAAGAAAAATACGTATGTGAAAGAATGACTGCATTTTTACAAGGGCATGTACTCACAGGGCAGGGGGGAACGGCTTTAAGCTGACAGAGGGGAGACTGAGATGAGCTCTTAGGCAGAAGCTCTTCCCTGTGAGGGTGCTGAGGCACTGGCACAGGGTGCCCAGAGAAGCTGTGGCTGCCCCATTCCTACCAGTGCTCAAGGCCTGGTTGGACGAGGCTTGGAGTAACCTGCTCTAGTGGAAGGTGCCACTTCCCGTGGCAGGAGGTTGGAACTGGATGAGCTTTAAGGGCCCTTCCAACCCAAACCAGACTGGGATTCTATGATTAATGAAAAATTTTCTGACACACAGTTTCACCCCTAATACTTGACATAGTTATACCCATCTCATGAAGAATCTCAACCAGCCACACGTGTAAACACTGCTCCCGAGGCAGCCCAAGAAATCCACTTGTAGGTTTGTGCACACCTTGATGCCAGTTCCACCTAACAAAGGCAGTGTTTGCTGTACTCCTCAACGCTGCCCACTGGATCCCTGCAGGTGCCGAGGGCTCTCCGAGACTTCACTGGGCGAAGGGTTAAGGAGCTTTCCCCGTTTTTGCAGGTCAGGACTCCCCAGAGATCTGCCAGAGCCCTGGGCACTCACAAGCCTCTGCTCCGCGGGGCAGTGGCAACTGAAGTAAATATTCCAATAAAACAGTAATTCCACTTCCCGACTTCCCAAACCAAACTACTTAGCCTGAGTCGGACCCCACCGCCCCCCCGCCCCAGTTTTCCGGGGGCTCCTCTGCCAGGAGCTCACCCTCGTCTGAGAGGTGACACAGTCGCCGCGGAACCTCCTGCCGGGATGCGCGTGTGCCCCGACGAGCCGCGCGTCCTGACAGGGAGGAACCGGCGCTTTCGGACGCGAGGGGACACCCCCACCGCCCGGACACGCTTCCTCAGCCCTGGGCGGGGACAGGCGGCGAACACTGAGCCCCGCGACCGGACGGGATGAGGATGAGGATGGGGATGAGGGTGGGGATGAGGATGGGGATGAGGATGGGGATGAGGATTGGGATGAGGATGGGGATGGGGATGAGGATGAGGATGAGGATGGGGATGGGGATGGGGTTGGGGATGAGGATGGGGATGGGGATGGGGATGAGGATGAGGATGGGGATGGGGATGAGGATGGGGAGTCCCTCCGCATGCCGCCAGTCACATGTTCCTGATGTGGGAGGAGCTCCGAGGCCGCGCGCACCTGCGGCCCCCGCCTTTGTGCAGTGCAGGTGCAGCGTCCGCCCCCCCCCCCCCCCCCCGCCGTGACGTCACACGGCCGCACGCGGGGCACCATGGGAGAATCCCAATGTTTTCCGACGGATGCGCTCAGCAGTGTGGCGGCTTGAGGCGACTCCGGGAGCGACGCTCGGGGCGAAGGGGGGACACGTCCCGAGAGGGGGCGGCGGCGGCTGTGGCGGCGGGGGGCCGGGCCGGTGCTCCGCGCCCCGGCTCTTCCCCACCCCGCCCGGCAGCATGGCCCACCCCCGTGAGGCGTCCGGGGCTGCCCCCTGAGCGCCCGGCGCCGGCGGAGCGCCCCGCCGCAGCCTGCCGACGGTGCAGGGAAAGATGCTGCTGCCGCGGCTGGTCTTGCCCGGCTGACGCCTCGCCGCCGCCGCACCCCCGTCCCCATTGTCCCCCGGCCGCCGCCGGCTCCATGAGCGCTTCCTCCTCCCCCCGCCTCTAAGCTTCCCGCCCTCCACCTCATGGCTGCATCGGAAGAAGGGACCGGCTGCTTTCTCCCGAGAGGCAGGTCTCAGAGTGACCCCAGCATCCTCACCGACCCCGCGGGCCCCGGCGCCGGAGAGCGCCCAGGTACCGGCAGCGCCCGGGCGGGGGGCGGGCAGGGGCGCGCCGAGACCATCCTCCGATTAGCAGCGCGGCCAGGCAGGGGACAGGGAGCGCGTTTTCCGCAGCGAGTGCCGGAATGGTGCAGCCGCTGCGCTCGGAGCGGGGCTGCAGCGGAGTAATTCCCGCGGCTTTGCGATCCCCGCGATCCTCCACCGAGTGAGCGGGCGGGGGGCGCGGCTGGCGCCGGGCGGCGGGGCCCGGCGGAACCCTCCGGTGAGGCTCAGGCGGAGCCGGCTGGTTACTTAAGTGGGGTGCTGGGGGAATAAAGTCTAATGAGGAAGGCGGTTTGCATGGGATCACCATGGAGACACGGGGACACAGGGTCATAATTAAAGGCTTTCTCAGCGCCAGAAGGTAATTGTCACTTCCAAGGAGAAGCGTGAGCTTCTTATGGGGTGTGGGCACAGGGCGAGGTGCAGGGGGGCACAGCCGGGGCGCTGAAGTATAAATAGAATATTGTGATTAGATTTTCTTTAACAATGGCTAATGGTGTTTTGAGCTTAACTTCACTTTGAGGAATAATCCTAAATGTCTGTTGGGGGGTGACTCAGTCATTTCAGGCTGTCAGCATCCAGAATGCAAGCAATGACCCCTAGAGAAAAAAATAAAAAAGAGAAACAACTCCATCACTTTGATGTGATGTGACTGCGAGCAAAGGCACAACAACAAGCTGGAGGCAAAGGCTAAGAGCCAGTTTACTCTTGATTTCTCTGAATAGGTGTCATACAAGAATGGGAAGGTTTCTTTATGAGAACAGGAGTAACCAAACCAGCGTGAGACAATGCAGGGGGTGTTGATTGCTGCTGCCCGTTACACTGAATTCTAAAGCTAGAAATACCTCTGGGCTTTGGGTCAGGCACTGTCAGCCTGGAAGAGACAGTCCCTGAACGCAATTTTGGGCTGAACTTCAGTTCCAGCCTTTTTCAGATTACTGAGTGAAATATTCCAAGCTGTTTTCATACACCTGCTATGCTGCTTCCTTCTGAGACCATGAAGATATTAATATCTGTAACTATTTTAAGTTCTATTTATTTGTCTTATCACGCAATTCTGAGCACCTTGCTCTAGAGTGAAATACAAATTAAATTAAGGCAAACAGTAAATGATTTATCTCTGATGCCCAACTGCTCCGATACCCTAAGTGAAGGGAACAAAGGACGCTTCTAACATGAACTGCTCTACTCACTCCCAAAGGGGCAATCTTGGCTGAAAGAGGAATGTATGTTTCTGCCATTTGGTTTCTGGAAGCAGAAGTGACTAATGAAAGGAAGGCATATGCAGTCTTGGGTTTAATTCCTCTATAGTATTTTCTGCTAATTAATTATTTTGGCCTTTGTGAGATATACAACAAAGAAAGTAGCAACATGTCTGACAGACAAAGATATAAACATTATGATGTGTTTTGTAAGGAGAAAGAACTATCTATACTAAGTAGCGTTTTTTCCCCCGATACAGACTTCATCAGATAAGTGTCCCATTGTGTGGCAGAAGCTATACTAATAAGCAAGAAAAGATGTTTTTGATGGTATTGTGTTAAACATACAATATGTGGAGAGAAACAAAAGGTGATGGGTTTTGTGCAGGTGGGTATAGATAGTAGTAGAGTTAGCCCATTTGGTAAGCTTTTCAGGTCTTAAATTTGCTCATCAAATAGTATTGAACATTCATATGCTTCAGAATTATAATAAAGTGAATATAAATGACTTAATTTAAATAATATTTTACCCTACA